ATAAAAAAAAAATAGGTAATGCCACCCACAATTTGTGTGGTATTAATTTTATTAAGGGTATTAACCCCATTACCTATTTATTTTCTATTTTATCTGTTGGTGGTATTGAAGTAAGAAAGCTACACATATATATATATATATATATATATATATATATATATATATATATATATATATATATATATATATATATATATATATATATGGGAGCGGCTAAAACAAATGCCGTTTTTTTCTCACTTCAATACCACCAACATAAAAAAAATAAAAAAAAATAGGTAATGACACACACAATTTGTGTGGTATTAATTTTATTAAGGGTATTAACACCATTACCTATTTATTTTCTATTTTATCTGTTGGTGGTATTGAAGTAAGAAAGAAACGCTATTTTTTTTAGCTATATATATATATATTGCCGCCATAAAGGTGCACTAAATAAATTACGCTCGTACAATGGTAATAGAATTATACTAAATAAGTATTTCTTCCGTGCAATGCATGTAGTGACATTCCCAAAAAAATTACAAAAATGTCATTAGAATTTCTTAGGTTGACCTGACGTTTATTTCGTGTTTATATATATAAGATGTTTTGGACTAAAAAAATGTTGGTTAGAACCTGAGAAATCACACAATTTTACTGCACCTACTAAACTACTTTTACTAGCATAATTATATTCTAATTAATTCTTAACAAAAGAGGATATACACATAAAACCCAGCATCAAGTCAAACTTCCTTAGTCACAATCTTCATTTATCGTATTCAATTAGGACATATATTAATTTATTATTTTAGCTATTATCTGGCCTGAAACAAGTAATTAATTATTGGTATACTTAGCTCGTTCATGAATGAGGTTAGTTAGACGGTCAAATTAATTCCCCAATTAATTAAATTTAATTAATTAATAAATTTAGCTAATTAAAATATAGAATCTGAATTAGTGAACTGATACCATTCAAGTATAGAACCCTAATCAAAGGATCAATATTATTTAGTTTTCTTCCATTTGTCATCGTATAACGCGCTTGCCATTTCAGTTAATTTTCCTACGTGTTATCTAATATAATAACGACGGGGATAACGTTATCGTCGAAAACGACCGATTTATTTATTATTTTTTTATTTTATTTTTTAATAATAATAATAATAATCAAAATATTTCTAGATTGTAGTGTGTTGTTTGTTGGTAAGAGATAATCCAATTGCAAATTAATATTATAGTATACTCCTGGCCAATTATTTTATACTATGGTCCAATTGTGTAACGCGTATACAAAAAACCAGTTCCTTTTTATTATCTTTGACCTTGGCACGTTATGGCCAACTTTGTGCCAGCCTGAAAAATAAAATAAAAATAAAATAAAATAAATAAATAAAATAAAAAAATAA